GCTCGTTGTACTCTGGACTCATTTTGAAGGCGTTTACTTGTGCCACTCTATCGCACAAAAGACCCGTGGAGGTATTCAGTAGACGTAGCGGGGCATTTTCGAGTTCAATCCGAACAACTCTTTGAATGGCGTCTTCTGCTTCCGATGGAGAGACATACTGCTGACGCAGATCTACAGAACGAGATAGGCATTTCGAGACCATACAGAAGTTTCCAATGGCTTACCTCGTATCTGAGCTTCCAGAGAATCGTCCAACTTAGACAACATGATTTTGAACGCCTCAATGGCTTCGTCGTAACGTTGCGCCCCGCGCAGCGCTGTATGCATCAACTCGTATCCAACATGAGACGAAGGATTGAGTTCGGTGACCTATGCATTACCGAAGTGAACATAGGCTATGAGGACGTAGATACCGTCGTACCTTTTGCGAGTCGAGAAGCGCCTCCTCCCATAGCATTTCCCCCAACTTCGCCCTGCTGCGATTTGCGAAGACGTCATGAGATCCAGAATCCAGGTCGATCGCCGCCGAGTACAGGTCGATCGCCATGCCATACTTGCTTGCAGCGAGGGCAGCGTCTCCGCTGGCAAGACACAGCGCGCTGCATTCTTCCATGAACGCTGAGTGAAATGGGGGCGAGAATTGTAGCTCGTGCAACATTGCAAACTACAGACTTGCCTTTGGACCATTCAAGGCAGCTGGCCTTCGCTGTTTTGTCGATATTATCCATCATGTATTGGTATGATCTCACGGCATCTAGAAGTTTACCTGCCCCAAGGAGTGCATCACAACGTTTCTGGTGTGCAGTCAACCACAACGATTTGAGATCCCAGCCAAAGAGCTGAACAAGGGATTTGGTTATGAAAAGGATTGTGAATGTGTATTCACGCACCACTACCAAGTCCTCGCACATAACATGAATGGGTGATCTCCATGAGAGAGTGCTGGAGTTGAGAGCAGCGTTAAAGTGTTCAGCGGCTTCTTCGTAATATGTGCTATCCAAAGCCTTGATTCCGAGTTGAACACGCAGATATGCCTGATATGTGAGTTGCAAAGATGAGTGTTGATAGCCGAGTGTGACAGATACTTACTTGCACGATGCGACATGCGTGAGTGTCTGCATTCGGACAACCGGTAGCGAGTTCTTTGAGGAGCAGGATTGCTTCGTCATGCTGATCTGCATTAAAGAGCACGATGGCCTAAAATACGCGATGAAGCGGAGAGTATGGGAGACAAATATAACATACTTTGATCAAGAGCAGGAAATGGAGAATTTCTGAATCTTGGTCCGTATACATGGATGCGACATCAAATGCTGCCCTCGCATCCGGGACACAGCCCGTTCCGCAGAGGGTAATACCCTTGGAGATATAGCCTATCAATGAGGGACGGATGCTGATGGACTATGTCACCATCGAGTTAGCCACTCGTAAAAGGGCGATGATGGATTAGTTAATCTCACCTTAATTGCGTCCTGAAGGGCGCGGTCCCAGTCGTGTTTTCGCGCCATAACGAATGAGCGATGGGCGTAAGAAGTATGGTTGTTCGGATCAGCATTGATACCTTGCGTGAGTAGTTCTTCGGCAGTAGATAAGTCCCCATCTATGCATGCAACACGGGATTTCGTGATGGCTAGGATCTGGACGAAACATGCTCGAATCGATATATGAGTTAAAGCCGGAAACATGCCTTTGAATGAATACCCGGAGGTACTGCCCACTCTGAGATCATTTTATCGCCGCCGCCGCTGAGGATATGGTTGCCGTCTATGGAAAAAGTGATGCATCGCACGAGGAATGAATGTTGGAATATGACAACGGTTTGTCGATCTGAGAGCCGCCAGAGACGAACATAGTTGTCATCAAATGTGAAGGCGACGAGTGTGCCAGCAGGATGAATGGCAATGGCACTGATATTCTGACAGTGAGCTATCTGAGGATCACCGATCTGCCTCCAGGTTGCTGTATCCCATTCACGTATGGTAGCATCGCCCGCACGGCCACCTGTGAGAAGGCGTCTGCCATCGGGTGTCCATGTAAGTGACGAGTTCCATGTGCTCAGGCTGTGAGCCGCCGTGAAGGATGCGACGAGTGTCCTCGTGCCTGAATTGTAAATTTCGATATTGCCTCTTGTTGCGATGGCAAGAAGCTCTCCAGACGGCGAATACCGTACGCAACTGACAAAAGTATCACCACATTGAATTGGATTTCCTTGCAGCTGCCCAGTTTTGGTATTCCACAGTTTCACCGTGTCGTTATGACCTATAGTGGCCAGTACTGCTCCATCGGGAGAGAAATCCAACGAGGGGATCCCTGCGAAGTGGGCTTTGATGGGTTGTATGAGCCTTTTGCCAGTTTCTGCATGCTGGACGATGACCTGTCCTCCTGCATCACCGCTTGCTATCAATTGCCCATCTCGTGATACAGCTAAACTCAGCACTCCAAGTCCATTGTGAGGCCCGTACATCTTGTTCAACACAACACCTGTCTGCAAGTCCCACAGACAAAGCGTCTTGTCGTTCGAGCCTGTAACCATACGTCGTTTATCGGGGAAAACTACGATTGCCGTCACGGCATCTGCATGACCTTTGAACTCTCGCAGGGGTTTGGTGATTGGAATGAGAGTCGACATTTTACTGGAAGTTGATGGTGTTGAGCACAGTCGAGGTGGACTTTGAAGGGATCGTGTTCTTCTCTAAGCTGCAGAGGTGCGTGTATTGTGCGTTTTATAGTGCATTCACTGCCTCAACCTGCCTCGTTTCAATAGACGGCTTAGGACACTTAAAATATTCAAAATTTAAACTGACCTAAAGATGGGTACACGGCAAACCCTGTAATTTGTAATCCGAATATAGTGCAAAAAGGATAACTCGGGTGTACGTCAGACATAAAGCTTGGGTATTCTGAGCCAATTTCGTACAAAATCAAAATATATCATCTCGCATCACTTTCTAAGTGTCATTTCAGTGTCGCGAGAAAAATGTTACTAAGAAATCGTACTAATATCATGATTAGCTCATTTGGAGATCATCAACACGTCAGTTTTGGGTCATCAGTCGGATGTAATCCCACTTGTAAGGATGATATCTCGAGCTGCACGTCTATTGGATGTAAGCCTCACGAATTTACGACGTATTCACGATATATTCATAATAACTGCGCATGAAAACACTCATAAAATATTCGCAACGGTCAAAGACTCAAAGTACACGTGCCAGGATTCAGCTGGGCAAGTCAAAACAACAAGTCACATTAACCAAAGTATCAAATAACAATATTGTCAAGTTGAACCACAGCGCCAGTAAATCTACACTATATAACGCGACAAGTTAAACATGATGAAATATTTATTCCGAACCAACTGATACCAAAGGGTCGGGGTGAAAAAGCATCGCGTGAGCACAGAACTCGGTCCATATGTGATCTAGTAAGTTTTCCCCAATTTGATCTCCACCCAAATTGTCAGTGTCAAGCCAATGTTCAATGAACTGTCCCTTGAGGGGAATCCTTGGGTCCCACATTGGCCACTGGCCGCGTGGAAAATCTGGGCAAGCACCTACAAAGGCCAGCCAGAACGCATCACGGCCCCATGTCCAATGCTGCGACGCTGCCGGTATGGTGACCAGCCAATGCTGAATCTTCTCTGACAGCTGCAACCAATGAAAGGAATCCATGGGATTGAATTTCGACGGCAACGGGAGGAACGGTATGGGTATATCGACATCGACATTGTTGTAAGATAGTTCGTGTCCCTTTTCGCTCGAATCAAGGGCCTAGAATTTTTAGATTGATCCCGACATGAGAAAGTTGCCCACTTACATCGTCAAAAGTCGAGGAACATTCGGAATAGGGATATCCGTCCAAAGTGAGAGCTTCCACGACAGGAGTCATATATGGTCTATACTCCTCTGCGATTGAAACTGATATTTGGATTGGCTAAAAAGGTTTATCAGGAATTATTTCGAAGGGGAAGGAAGGAGAAGTACAACGACACCGCGAATAAGGTGTCTCGGAAGATCACCTGAAAAACATATTCCGATGCACAAAGGTTGCAACGACACATCTTCTGTATTCCGCGTGCGGATCGGTGGGTAGAACGTTGAAGTTTGAACTGTGTAGGATGGTGCAGTATTAGTACAGGTGGTTGGAAAATGGCACTGATCCATATTATCGACAATTTGCAGGTTGATTGGTCGTTGAGCGTTGAGTGAATGTTGAACGTTTGGTGACCGTCACAACTGTGACTCGAAGCAGACACGTGATCAATTGGACTTATCATTTTGGCGAGTCTCGACCAGCAGCCAGCGCTGTCAATATCAATATGGGTGAATCACAACTTGTTGATGGGACAGGTGAGTACTTTTAAGAGTCATTGAGTTATTAAAAATTCTTGTATTTATAGTTTTACAATACTGTAATCCAGCGCGGACTTCTGTCGTCTGCACAGTCTGCCCTCAGCTCAAGGGTAAATTGCGGACGATGATGCGCAGACATATCCAAAGTCACTGCAACACTGCCGTGCATATCCGACACCTATTAATGAAGCGTTCTGGGAGAATATCGGTGTCCAAAAACCCCTTCCCTCCAGAATCTCGACGACCCACACAGACGACCGACTGTGAATCCGATATTGACTCGGACGCCTCTGACATGGTTGCTGACTGTCACGACGACGCTTACAACAAACCGACAACATCTATCTCTGCACCTGTCGAAGAAGAAATGCCGCTGTCTACGCTGTGGGACATTGCATTAGACCACCATGTATACGAGATCGGTGGTGGGCGAGAGCTTTTCAACGAACTTGAAGCTTCGCTACTCGAGGGCGATAAGATCATCGCAACGCCCATAGCTGCTCTCGAAGACGAGATTGGAATGCAAGATGACGATTATTTTGGCATTGAACTACTGGGTAAGTTTTTAGCATTACTGTGTTCATTCGTGCTATTGACGCAATCATAGACAAAATTCCTGTGGATTCTAGTACGAAGACAAAGGCAAATATGAAAGTTAATCCGGGCGACGCCTACTATCCTTGGTTGTCGAAGGCGGTAAGTGTATATTCTGACAGGATTCGAGGATGCTCATTGTGCTTCCAAAGCACTTCTTGACTGCGTTATTGTTTAGCTCTGCACGACTACCATTTTCGGATGTGCAGAAGAAAGCCGTACTCAGCTGGGCCAAGGAGCTGGGTGCCCATGATGTCCCGTCTCTCAAGGCTGTCAAGGAGTCAAACGAGCACATCTGTGAACTTGTCGGCAATCCAATGCGGAAAGTAACTTCAGCGTCCGGCAACGTTTTTTACATCAACGATATTTGGCATGCAATTGCAAAGGTAAACTACAAGCGCTCAGACTATCCTACGCTAACCATGTCATTTAGGACTACGCGAATCCACTCACCCGCTTTTCCATGCAAGATTATCCAGAGGATGGAGGAGATGGAATGTCGCAGGTTTTCAATGGACAGAAGATGCTGCTAGAACTGCCGTCACCTCCGGCGGCTCGTGTGGATGGCAAAATATATTTCGTCAACGAACTTCTGCAGGAATGCTCAGGAGGCTTTTTTGTCCCAGAACGCTTCTTCACTGCCTCGTATGCACCAGTGAATGGCAGGGACTCACAGGATTCGTGCCAGGAGAACAAAACATATGCTATGGGCGTGCGGTACAATACACAGACGTATGTACTAACTCTGTCTCGTAGATATCATGACAGATACTGACAGGTTGAATAGGCCGGTTTCATCGTCAGTGATGAACAAGAGATCGTTCCGGTTTCAAACTTCAGACATTCCTTTGAGGATCTCGTGGACAAGCTTGCATGCGGGGTTACCAGTAAGTACATGTTTGAGCTACAGGCGACTCTACTTAGCATAATCCTAGTGTCATCTGAAAAATACCTGAAGCTCACACCACATCCTCTACGCGAAAAGTCAAAGGGCCGGATGGTCTATTCAGTCCCTCTCATTATATTCATGGATGACGTTTCCGGAAATGTTTCAAAGCAGTGGAATAAACATCACGCGATTTACATGTCGAATGCTAACCTACCACGTGAGATGCTGGAGAAAGAGTTTTGTGTTCGATTCGTAACATCATCACCACACGCTGCGCCGATGGAATTGATGCATGCGATGAAGGAGTCTATCAGGTGCGTTCTATGCTTCTATGCTGCCCACATTTAGTCAACTCAAGCATTGATTAGTGCAGCCGCAGACTCAGGAATCTTTGCGTGGGACTGCAAATTTGACGAGGAGGTCATGCTCGTTCCTGAAGGTTTATTTCTTGCGGGGGACAATCCAATGCAGGCCGAGGAATGCAGCCACGCAGGGCTGAATTGTAATTACTTTTGCAGGACTTGTCATGTTGGCGGGACAAAGGAATACAAAGAGTCTGAGGCTGGATATGTTAGTCTTTTTACGGTGTGTTATTCAATATGAACACTATAGATTGATCTTAAGAGTGAGACAGGAAGGAACACCCCGAACACCCGAAGAAACGACATCACAGGTCCTCAAGCAGTTCGAGACCGCATTATGTTCAGGAGCCACAGGGAAGGTTGTGGCCGCCGTATCAACCACTGGAATCCGGGACTCTACTTCATCTTCCATCATCAATACGCTTGTTGAAATGGGCAAGAAGCTACGAAAACGAGATGTAGGACAGCCAGCATTACCGGAATCTGAAGTTCGTGCAAAGCTGGAGGAAGAGCTTTTGGATATATTGCAAGGTAGGACACACCGGGACACAATCAATCCCCTTCTAGGGATGAATAGTGAGCGTTCTCAGATTTTGATGCGGGTTGTTGAATTCACACTGGTACATAGATATAAATGTTCACATGGATACTCCTACTGAGATCCTTCACACGGTTCTACTCGGCGTTGTGAAATACTTTTGGGGACAGACTGCATTTGTGCTCGAGAAAGCTAAACTACTCACTCGTTTTCAGACACGTCTCGACTCACTGGATAGAGATGGCCTGAATGCGCCGTCCCTGAATGCCGACTACATTTGCCACTATAAAGGAGGCTTAATCGGAAAGCACTTCAAGAGTCTCGCGCAAGTTATGCCGTTTGTCGTCTACGATCTCGTTCCGAAAAGTGTTCTTGATGGATGGACCTTAATTGGAGAGTTAGTCGTTCTCATTTGGCATACGAAAATCGACAACACCGAACACTACTTGGCAAAGCTAGCTCGAACGATAAGCGATTTTCTCAATGTGACTGCGCAGTGCGCACCCAGTATCTTGATCAGCAAACCGAAATTCCATTTTTTAGTTCACCTCCCAGCTTACATTCGACGTTTTGGACCTGCTATTATTTTTTCGACTGAGCGTTATGAGTCGTTTAATCATGTATTCCGTCTTACATGCATTTACAACAATCGACGAGCTCCAAGTCGCAACACGTGCATGACATTTGTTCGCAACGACACTGCCAAGCACATCGCTACTGGCGGTTATTGGTATGACACCCATACAGAACGATGGGTTCATGGTGGCCCACAGGTTCTCACCTACCTTGAACACCATCCTGAACAAGCTCGTCTGCTTGGAATTCCTGACCAAAAACTAGCTGATCCAGGTATGGCAAATCCTGCAATTCATTCACAGACTGACAGTGCTATGATAGGCACAGGGAGAATTATAGTGACTGACCAGTCTAAGCACGAAGCCGTTCTGTGGCAAGCGACGCGCTGCGCAGACATATTCAAGAAGAACGGTCTCAAAAGTCCTCCTTCTTCCGAGTACTACCAGGGAACTTCGGTAGTGACTAGTGAGCATGAAACTTCGCAATTGGGTGGGCATGTCATATTTCGAGACGCGCTTGAGAAGGTGCGTCTTTCCCCACTATGTCACTTCTAGTTTACTTACTATCAAACAGACTCGTATTGGACGCATCCGTGAGATATTAATTGCAACAGCGCCTGGGCACTCTGTCGCATTTGTTGCTCTTCAGACATTTTCCTTCATGCCTGCACGCCACCCTTTGCTCCATCTGCCATGTCTCCTCCTCACTGACGAGGAACTCATTGTGTCAGGAACGGTGAGCCTTACTACGTCTTATTTTTGTTGCATTCAATTCAAGTCGCATTTTAGGATATCATATGTATCGCCAATGTTCAGCACAATTGTCTCGATGCAAAATGCACAGAGTTAACTACCAAGCATCTGTGGCAAGAGTGGACCCAAACTGACCGAACAGCAAGTGTCGTGAAACACCAAATATCGCCACAGTATCTCCTTAACATGTTCTCCATCCATAACTACCAGCATCTCTGTTCTCTTCTCCCGGAATCCCTCTCCGAGACACCATTGCGCGTTTCAGATCCTGGAGCTGTCCGAAGAGCTGCTGTGAGACAAATGCAGGGAAAGAGGCTGGCGAAAAAGCTCGGAGGCGAGGCAGTGAGCGTGCCCCAAGATGACGATGGTGTCCGTCCTGCGTTTGATTGCGCAGCTAAGAAACAGCCCAAGACCACATCCAGGAAGCAAGTGAAGTCTACGAATTCGACGAAGCAGCAGCAGCCTGTCGAGGCATCCATGTCAAATGCCCCAGATATTCTGCACCGCCCCCTTCAACCGCATCCTCATTTTCATCAACCTGCCGCTCAGCAATACACTGCACATCTCCCCAATCCCCCTCAAGCACCTGGTCATTCAAGTTCATCATTCCCTCAATCCTCAGTACACCAATGGCGTCTCCCACCGCCAGGGTTTGCGCCACCCCCAGAAATGTCTCATTGGGCATCTCAGGTGCCTTCCTTTTCAATATCTTCCGGCCATAGTCAGTTTTCATCTCTAACCCACCCTGCTCCACCCATTCAAGTACCCGCGCATAATCCCCTGTATTCTACAGCCTTCGAAGCTAACTCACATCAGTTACATCCTTATCATTTCCCCCAACCTTATGACACTTCTCGTCAATATTTTCACCCCTAGTGATTTTTAATATCATTTTTGATTTGATGACATGGTCAGTCGCACATTGCACACCTTTGGTTAAGTTCGAAGTCAACATGTCTAACAAACCCCGAGTGGATGGGTCAGCCCCGACCCGCAGAATCCTCCAGGTATCCCCGAAGCTCACCCAAGCTGCCGACGAGGACATGATATACTTTCAATACGAAGGTAAGCTTCACTCTTACTACAATGACACAGCGGTTTAACTGATCTATCTCTACCTTCGAAGTCAACATGTCTAACAAACCCCGAGTGGATGGGTCAGCCCCGACCCGCGGAATCCTCCAGGTATCCCCGAAGAAGCTCACCCAAGCTGCCGACGAGGACATGATATACTTTCAATACGAAGGTAAGCTTCACTCTTACTACAATGACACAGCGGTCTAACTGATCTATCTCTACCTTCGAAGTCAACATGTCTAACAAACCCCGAGTGGATGGGTCAGCCCCGACCCGCGGAATCCTCCAGGTATCCCTGAAGAAGCTCACGGCAGATCCAATAGATATTGAGCTTTCTGCTCACTGTCGAATTGTAGTGGTTTGCAAGCATTTATTGACAGAAAACAGACCAAGCAGACTCCTCAGGTCCTGACAGCGATTAATGTCCCGCAGCTAATCATCCGCCAGGCACCAATCTGTGCGTCACGCTTTTATCAGTAGTAGGAATGCACATTTTTAATAGCATAATCCAGATCATCGCTCGACTCTGAGTACTTGAATTGTGGCTGAACTTAGCTCATGTGCGTGGGAAGTTTTGTTGGAAATGTTGAAGCGCAACTTGAACGTGTTCACCGGGTGTTCACTGAGAACTCAAGGAAGGACCTCCCAAGATGATGCTCAATCGCTTTCCACTTCGCTCAACATCTGGGGGCTCCCAGAGAGCAAATAGCATCGGTCCTGGACCACGAGTGCAGGGCTTGGCCCCACCCTGGGATGGTAGACATCGTGCTCGCTCACTGCTTGGGTCTGACGCGGGACTCTCGACCCACTCTGCTCCTGTTGTTCGCAGGCAGCCTACCAGCTCAGGCTCTCAATCACAGTCTTTGAATCCTCTTCCAGATGCCTCAATTGTTCTGACCGGTCCTTCACGCCCAGGTTCTCCAAGTGGATCGTCTGATCTCAATGCGCCTATTAGCGCAGGCGTTCGGCGTCGGAGGGATTCCAGCACCAATGCAGCCTGTCTCACTCCAAGACGCACCAAGCGACTCAAAACATATGCACAACAGCTTGCTACTGAACGTGGAATACCTTTGAAGAAGTTGCTGGCATTTATCGAGGTACGATCTATTCTACCTTCCTTTATTATTTTGATTAAGTTTCATCTTAATTTCACCAAGAATGGTGATTTGTTCGTCATGCTTCTAGAATTAAGGGCTGGTCAGCTTGAACGAGAAGAAGGGATCGAAATAAATACTTTACAAGAACTCGAGAAACTACTGACTTCTAAGGATTTCGAGGTGCGACTGATTGATTGTTCTCATCTATTCCATAACTGACTATTTGCAGAGTGCACTGAAGAGCCGCCTTACCGCATGTATGCTATCTCCAAACCTGACTGCTTATATCACTGATACACATCAACATGTGATGGTAGTTCGGATTTACTTCTTATTGCCTTAAATGCTCATTGTTCATACCGCAGGAGTTTATCCAAGCGCACAATGATCTTTTCAAGATCGCTGAGGGACTCTTTGAAGACGCTGAGTTGCGCTCACAACTCAGCAGATTGGTCACACGGCTTTTGTCAACCATCCGTGGCCAAATCAAAAGCACAGTACGTATTTTCTCAATGAATGAAGATAGAAAGTGTTCACAGCGATCATTCTATCCGCAGCTTACCATGTCAGTCAGCAAGAGATTGAGTATCATGGATGCCCTCAAACCGCTTATACATAGTGGCATGGAGGTTGACTCCTCGCATTGGACTAGATTTGCATTTTTGGTGGGTTTCTTCAGGCATCCAGATTGTTTTTACTGAATTTGAGACAGCGCCGTTGTCTTCGCATCTTCCTGATCGGTGTTTGTGATCATGAAAAGCTCACCCTCAAGGAAGCCTTCTCCCCCTACCTCATCCCCTCGCTCCATCAAGATCTTGTAGAGCATATTGAGAAAACGCTCAATGTTGATATGGTTCAGTTGGCGGATGAATTTTCGGAGTATCACCCAGGCCAGGGATCTGCGGATCAAGAAGAACGCTCTGGTGCCTATGAAAGCCTCAACGATCCTACCAGCCATGATGCGAGCTCCACCGCAGCGGCAGTCACCAACAATCTGGTTGACGAAGAGGACCGCCAGGCTGATCCAACTGCAATCGAAGGTCCCTTTACAGATGCGGATGCGAATGAAATCCCTGACGAGTCTTTTGGTACTCCTGATTGTGCGACATCTGGCTTTGGACTCGACGGTGGCTTCAAAAAATGGAACAAACAAAAATTTTGGAACTATGTTGATGCAATGCTGGAGCAGCTTCGCAAAAGTGCGCGTGAGCAATCAGGAGGTCAGACTGCTGGGTATGAAGATGCGTACCACAAGTACGTGATATCTCTGTACACCGTTTATTCACCTTACTGACTAATGAATAGGGCAATGGTCGAGTTTCTCCAGCTCGACCTGCAGGAGTTCCCTGGTCGCCGCAAGGCTCTATCTCTTGTGAAAGGTTCACAGCCTGTATGGCAGGAAACAATTCAGAAAAAGTTGTTATGGTAAAGTTTGCGCGCTCATTCATTCGTAGTCCTCATTTAATTATAATCAATTAATCATTATATAAATTGTCTACTTTCGTTGAATGCATGGTGTCTCGTCGTGTTTTGTATACGAGTCTGAGTACCACCGTGGTGCATTACTGGCCGATCACCGAGAGAGATATCCGCCATGTATAGCGGATGTATCATGACATTCGTCATTCATACCTACTTGGACATGCTGCCTCAGATATGCAGGTGAAAACATAATCTGTATGTCTCAATCAATACACCTCATTTACATCTGCGGGCGACCATTAAACTGACAATTTCCATAGATACGAACATCTTATCTTAGGACAGATATCACCTAAATAATTAATTTATATCCTACAGAAGTCGCACAGAGACCGGGCAATCAAATATTTTTGAACATAATCGCATATATATTTATGATTTACGTGGTATGTCGCGCGAAAACCCTATGGATGATGCGTGTGAGATATTGGATATATAATTTCTATTTTTGACACCAGATTTACAAAATGGTGGGTTTGCCGTGTAATGTTTTGGACGACATATAAAATTTCAAACCATATTCCCACCGACTATATATCAATAATAATAATAATTTAATTTAATTTTCTGCGTGTGCTCAAATTTGAAGTTTAATTCTGACCTAAAACATCAATGAAATTTGGTACATACTTACCAAGAATGTATTATGTAAGCTTTCGACTCTTACAATGTGGCTGTGTTCTTAGGCTGAGTAAACCAATTGAACGACATGAGTACGAACGTATGACCCGAGCTATAGTTGTTCAGAAGAACTCCCTTCGGACATGTCGACTCTTTTAGATCTTCCACTGGTTGCACCAATTATCACATGATTCCACGCTCACCCCAACGCTGGCCACGGTCGTTGATCAATGTTCTTAGCTGCCTCGAACGAACGACTAAATGACCGCCAGTACGGTCTCGACATATCCTTTTGAACCAACTCCCCCATGGACAACTGTAAACCCTAGGCCGTTCTTACCTCAGTTTTGCACGCATTGCGGTATCGAAGAGCTGCCTCCATTACCATCGCCTCGAAACGAGCTGTTCAACGACAATTATGTTGTCAGCACTCACATCTTACCTGCTAGTTGTCCAAGACTCGCTCCAAACATCCCATTGCCTGTGGTCCCTAAATTCTCGCCGAATGCCGCAGAACGGCAAGGAGATATTCAGCAGCTTTTCGCTGACATTACTGAGCGACAGGTGCGCTTCGTGAAGGGAGAGTTAGGCGGAGAAAGAGTCGAGAAGCCATTATGGAACTGCGTTAATCGATACGTCAGGAGAGTTCAAGATGAGAGGAAGGGCTTGACATTATTATTCGCTCACGCAAATGGTTTTCCCAAGGAGGTACTCATTTATTTGACCCGATTTTCGTGCTTCAAGAACAGCTAGTGAATGTATTATAGATATGGGAAACAACTCTACGATATTTGCTATCGTCACACACAGCTTCACTGATCGATGAGGTGTGGTCTTGGGAAGCTGTGCAGCACGGTGATGCTGCACTAATCAACGAGACAAATCTCAGTGGCATATGTGAGACACCCCGCGCATTTCATCCAAAGGCTGAGATCATCCTTCGTTTCTAGTTGACTGGCGAGACAACGCGCGGGATATTGCACACTTTCTGTTATACTATCTACCAGAAGACACATCTTCGAAGGTCTTACCAAC